GCTAACAACCTTCCTCTCGTGTGAACAGCAGACCGCAAAGCGCTGGATGATAATACAAGACAAAACACTTCCTCTACGCAAACCTGGTAAATGTAAACGTGACGAAGCATGTGAATTCTGTCGCAGCATCACGCGTCAGGTAACATTAAACTGAAATACTACTCCTACCAGTCGGAAGATAAATCTGAGGGCAATTTACAGCTTATTCTCAATTAGCCTGGGATGACGAGGCAACACTGTTTTAGAATTACATAATTTTCACAAGTCTTACCGCTACCTAATTCAACGCATGGTTTGGTTTGATATAGTTAGCCTGCCATACCTAGCAATGAATAATGCCGTCATTGCCAGACGCATTGACTGCAGAATAACAATGATTCTTGATGAATACTTTAAATTTTCGCAATTGGTACCTGCGAATTTTCAATTAAGCAGAAACAAGTTTTTGCCTTTGCGTTCACAAAACTACTTCCTTTCGGCCCGTTCAAGAAAGAAAACCAGACATTAAATAAAATTATTTCATTTACTTTCAATAACCGAACAGTTTCCGGATAACTTACCAATGTTTTCATGATCTTTTTTCATTGCTTCCAATGCATCTTCATGCGTCGGGAAATCGACATCGGCTTCACCCAATGCTCGGCCTCGTTCATCAAACAGAATGTGAACGTTCAGTACTTTAAGTGGCATAAAGAACTAAAAGCATGAAATTAAAAATTATTTTTAAAATATTACAAAAATTTCAAATCAGAACACTCGAAAATTTGAGAGATTCGGATCACTACTATATGCTAAGCTAAGAAGTGTGTAAGCATTTAGTATACTGGCTGGAAACGTACGCTACGAAAAACTAATAAGTATAGAAAACGGAACTACGCAGTTTCAGTAAAAATACTACAGCAAACGCATTATGCAACGCTTAAATTGTTTCCTCTGACTACATATTTTCGCTCTATGCCATTAATGCCGATGAAAAGCCTGTCGCGAAGTGGCTAGAATCTAAACAGTGTTTGGAAAAAAGTACAGTATTCCTACACGACGCAGTAAGATTCTAGGCCTGCCGTAGGTCACACGCGTAAAATGTTTCGGTAGCTCTTTTAAGTTTAAAAATAGATTTACTGAACCATTTCACAACTTTTCTTGCCACTTTTGAGAATTTGGACAGAGAAGCTGTAACGTCCTCTTGTGTTAATAGCCTAAGAATCGTATAAACAGGCTACCGGTAAATAGTGCTGCAGCAGCTGCAGCTAATGGCACAAAATGACACGATGTTGTTCCGTTAACATTTTCCAACACCAACGACGCACCTCATTCGCAACACATATACCCGTTTATTCCGATTTATATCTTTCAATAAATACGAAACGAGCATGACCCAAAACGGAGGATTCGTGCATAATGAATTGTTTGCGCGATGTGACCGGACCGGTAAAGGGGTTGCCAGCCAGTTCCGATGATCGTTTATCGTCGGTTACGGAGGAAGACGCGAAAGACAGTGTCTCCAACGATTCCAATCCTGTGCCAACGTTTGAACACCGCGGCATAACATAACTCTAGCCTGGAGGTTCTTACGAGAATTCTTGCCCCGGGATAGTCTTCGCCAACCCCAGAATCTTTGGCCAGTGTCTAGGAAGTAGTGCATCGCATTCCTCTCCAGAAACACTCGCAAGACGCGTCCAAACTACTGCAACTGAGTCTTTTCAATCTAGATAAGAGCGGCTGTACACTAAGTTTCCTTTGGATACTTTAACTGCTACGCCTGACCCCAGCGATTCATCTAAAGACTTGACGGATTCATGAAATACTATTTACTTTCAATCTATCAGGTCCTTACAATCTACTGGTGTTTTAAATGCCAGCGAAAACAAGTTGGTAAGAAGACAGAAATTTGAATAATTGTATAAATGCATGCGATACTATGAGAAATTTCGCTGCACTCGAACTTTAGCTTTAGTGTTCAAACAAAGTTTCCATTTCCATGTACTGCAACGCCTTCACAGCATCGCCATGTACTTACAAATGTTTCTTAAGTTCTTAGAACTTTCAACAGGAAAAGCAAGTCGCATTACTCCAAAAATTCGCAATTTTTTCTTATATCTATGAAAAGCATAATAAAACGGAAACACTTAACCCACTTAATGATTTCTACTCATGCCAGAACTGATAAAAACTGAAACGTGTACCGACTTGACAACTAGCTTTTAGTCGCTCAGAGTAAAGGAAGCTGATCAAAAAAATGATCTTAGCTGCATTAGATTAACTATATGTAAATCAATACAGCTGACTAATAGTGTCATTCAGCTCTTTCAGGAATTTTTTTCACAGACCACGCAGAAAAACGTTACCTCCATGATCACACAGCAACTGTTAATATTCATATTTTATCCAACACTGACTAAAATAATTTTCCTAATACGTAAGTACAAGCAGCGCACTGACGGTCACCAATAGGCTTACTCACAGTATAAAACATGACCATTTACATGTAGCGTGTTAAGCTATACTAAACTAGCAGCACCCGCGTTGGTAACAATCCAATGTGATATCATTCAATCAGCAGTAACAGAGCAGTGGAATCAAACCAGAAGTAACAAACTGGAGGGACCGAGTAAAATAACTGAAATTTAAATGGCGTAGAACCGCAAACAGCACATCAAATTAGCAAATCATCAATGAAAGTTATCTCGAATATCACGTTTATTCTTACTTCAACAATGTCATTTGCCGTTGCCTTATATGGTAGCCCCCTCATATGTACCACGTGACCAACGCCCCGTCCAGCACCGTTCATCGATCGACTGGAATACATGTAACCCCTTCCATAATTGTCTTGCCCACCTCTTACGTTCCCGTAATACGGCTCGTCAATTAGTGGGGCTAGGCTTCCGCGGCGTCCGACAGGTTCTACGCCCCTTACGTAATCCATCATCCGTCCGTAACCCCAACCTACAGATAATCACGATCAATTAAGGATCACATGCACATATCAAAAAAATTCTACCGAAGTCAGGTTCAAATAGCGGGGCATCCAATAAAGAATACGGTCCAGGACGCCCGCCGCCACTTCTCCCATAACTACCCAACATTCTTGGCCGCCTGGTTACCCGTTCCATTTCTTCCTCTGTGCTTCGAAAAACCTCGATATACCTGTATTAAAAAGGGTTGGAAAACCGATCATTTCAAGATAAGTGAACAGCCGGCGAACAGTTTACTTGCTGACTCTAAAAATATATAAATAAAAGACCATACGTAAACTGTACGCCGACAGATTGACTCTATAAATCCAAAAAAACTAAAAACTATAGGGTTACGCAAAACAACTCAACGCTTAAAAACTGAACAGCCCAAAATAGAAACCTGTGACCGATTTTGTCCATATGACGATCCAACGCTCTTTCCGCGGTGTCTTTATCAACAAAACGGACGTAGGCTTCCCCTGTGGCCCGTCCATTACCGTCGAAAACAAATTCTAACCCATCCGGTGCGATTTCCATACCTACACGTACGCTAGAGTATACTCTTAACTGCCAAACTTTACTTCATGCAAGTGAACATCATATGGCGCCGCTCAAACTTTTGGAGAAAAATTTCACGATCATATACATACCTTTGAAAAAATTGAATATTTCCTCCTTAGTACAACCATAGGGCAATCCGCGAAGTCGCACGACGGTATTCGCCTCGGACGCTTCCAGCGGTTTCCCGCTTCTTTTCAGCACATATTCCATCTCCGCTCTTTTAGAATGGAAAACTAAAATACTGCTGGATCAGTTAGAAAAACAAACGCAGCACATGCAACACGCACTTATTCGTTACATGAGGACAGCTAACGACTTCTTTACTTACGCAACATTTTTTTCTAAAGCCACTGTAAAAGTGACGATATTCGCAGATTACAAAGCGGAATTTAATCTTACGCTAATGCAATAATTTCCTGAATGAGAACAAATCTTATTCCCTTTAACACTGTATGTCAATAATTACGCGTGCAAATCAGCACATACAGTACAAAATGATTAGTAAGAAAACTGATTAGTAAGAAAATATTATGATGAAGGTGAACCTCGCAATAAATGTCAGAATCGAACACTTAATTCTCTCCTAGCTGGATTTCTCAGCAGTTCGCTTTTCACATTCAGAACCATACTTTGCAGCCAATGAATCAGTGAAAGCAACTGCAAACTCCAAAACAGTAGGTGCAAAAACAAGGTGAATAAATAATGGAAGAAAATCTATTGAACTATGCGGTTTACCGGAAAAAGCTGTTGCATTTTATTGACAGTAAATTAACTTGTTGTTGTTCCTGAATTTTGTAGTCAAAAGTATGGAGGGACCTGAAGAAACTAAATTTATTTTCATATGCATTTGCGACAATCTCGAACGAAAGACACTAACTGTCGTAACATTAATAACTGTGCACTGATTTTTAAAATCTGTATGAAATTTAGTACAGAAAAACTTCCAGCGGTAAGACAATACCTTCAATATAACGCTGGCCCATGTTTTCTCGGTGCTTTAGCAGCGCTTTCTCCACATCTTGTGCGCTACCTAGCTCCAAGTAGGCTTCGCCAGAAGGGCGACCTTCTCTTGAATAGGTGAAATGAATAGATACGATTTCATCGCAATCTAAATGAAGGATACACATTCGTCGAAAGCCGATACAATTTAACTCTATAAACAATGGGCAACAAATGTTTAACACTGTAACAAGCTCAACACTGCCCTCCACAAAGCTAATATACGAGACACACAACGCAGATTAGATGATTGGCTGAGATGCTTCAAGAAAAGTGAAACACTTCGAAACATTCAGGGTTAGGTAACATAGCTGTAAAGATGGAATTTATCGATTTGCGAAGCTCTGATGAAAGATTCAAAGGGGTACTGTGATCCACACCCAATCAAGTACAAAACTTTCCGTGCTTTTTAAACCCTGAACATGGAAGTAACATAAAATCTATAAAAGTAAACATGTCACTACTAGAAACAGCAATAACAGACTTTGCAGTCTAAGTTTCAGTTACGATGTTTGGGGCGATGTATGAATGCTTCCAGAAAAGACGGTGAAACAGTTACAACTTGCAGGGCCTAAAGGCCGTAGAGCCATGGAACTAGGAGCAAGTGTTCGTGGAAGACTCCGCAACAGACTCGGGTTATTATATGGTGAAGCTCAAATGCTGGCATAAGTACGGGAAGACTGGAGACAGTGTTTAAAGCGTCTCCCTCCGCGATTCCAAGGCATAAGTAGTCACCCAAAGAAATTCACACTAAAGAGACAATCCTAACAAACAATGTACCACTGAAAAACGTCCGAATATCATCTTCCTTGGATGACCATGGAAGACCGCGAACACGAACTACGTTATCATCATCCCGCCGTAACTGCTGGAGACGGTGGTCACCGTTTTCATTTTCTTGATCACTCTTCCGAGAAGAGTCGTACATTTCGAATCAAATCGCAGTGAACAAAGTCTAAAACCTAATACATTTCTTATAGCAAAGCTAATACCGCAGCCTTCATAAGTTTCTCATGACGCAAAGAATGAGCCTGTTAATCATAGATTGTACCTTTAATCCATACTTACAGTAATTCTTACTGTCGATCAATTTGAAAGGTAAAGTTTTGTTTCTCAGCCAAATAATTCTAAAGTTTCTTAACTTCGAGAATTTAGACAAACTCCCAACAATAATAGCAAATATTCGGTGTTGCTAAATTGCTAATAAATTTGTTTAAGCCGTTGTATTAAAAATAAAAGAATAGACAATCCAAGAATCGGTGTTAGCGTTCCGGCAGAACTGTACTTGACAAAATGGATCAGTCAAAGAAAACGTGGAACCACCAAACATCCGACTGAAATTACAATGACCTTGTTACAAGGGGAAAGGAGTCCTTCCTAGAAGAAGTAAAATCTGTTAATTAAGAAATGTCTCATATGGGATCCATCGTTGTAATGAAAGATTTCATCTCGTACATGAGATATATGGCAAAAACTGGATAAGTTTGATTTAGAAAATTGCTGTAGTGTCTTAGCAAAAGCTGCAAGAAGCTGTTGCAGTGTTGTACAAACAAGTATTATCAGTAATGAACATCTAGAATCGAAGCGAGCACTGTACCTGAAGTAGGAAATCCATTGCAAAAAAAGTCGATGATCGGTTTGGCAATTCTAATAGCTGAATCATCACAGTGGACGGTCGAAGTTCACGCTAGAGAGGAACAGAGCTCTCAATCGATCGGCACATTGCTCATGACACACTGAGCTCCAAAAGGTGGAATAAAATGTGAAAAATTAGAAGTAGAGGTAACCATATGATTTAATAAAAAACAATATTTTCTGTGAAACTGAGAATAAAACTTCGAAACAACGTCTCTTGACCATCTGAATTGATCCTAGAGATGATATGGTGTAAAACGTAATAGAAGCTACTTATAGGAGGCTTACTGGGAACAGCTAAAGGTTGTGGTCTAAATGGTTCGTCTCACTTTTAGATGTCAAAAACGAACTGCTTGGTGGATATGAGCGGTTAACCTGAACCCCATGAGCGGTTAACCTCCCTGTGACGATCCTTAACCTTCAAGACGTAATGAACAGCAGCCCCAAAAATCTTTAAGGACAACCAGGGCCCCTCTGACCACGCACAAGGACACATTTCTGCGAAAGAGCAACTTTGAAGAACTAGTCAACCTACATCAACCCCTAAAGTACGATTCTTAAGAGCAGCAACCAATGGATTTTAGTCTTTCAGAACAGGAAGTCACGAAAGCCGAAAGAAGTCAGATGAATGAAAAACTACTACACTCGATCAAAAAGATCAAATAAGCCCGAAATGCATACAGGATCAGGCGAACAAATCACTTTGCTGCAACTCCTGCCTGTTGCTTTAAAGCCAAGATAAGAAAGAAGAATTGGAGACTGAGGAGAAGGCACTATTAAACTTGGCCATCTGCTTCTTACAGTATTTTTGTCATTAAAAATTATACCGGCTCGGTCTTACCTGGGTCATCATGGGCCGCACAAGCTATTGGGGAATGAAGTAAGCTAAGTAAAGTCGGCAATCAGAACCTCCTCATTGCCTTCTGGCAGCCGGAGGCGTAGTAGTACAACAACGACTGCGAAGGTTGACGACGACGACGAAACCAATCAGGACCGGATGAAAGCATCCAACCATTTTCAACGGATTAAACAGAAAAAGTCATCCAATTATAGCGCTTCAAATAGGGTTATGCTCAGTTTGGGTCTTAAAACCTTTGAGCAAGAACATTTACATGCTCCTAGAAAAGTCAAATCCCTAGCATCAAAGTTCATCATCGAATTAAGGTGAGAGAACAATTATAACGATGCAGACCTTACTCACACGTAGCTTGCCATTTTGAGATGCAAGATGGTTGTCCTTTAAGTGACCCTATCATTTATTTCTCTTTGCGCGTTGAGGTGAATGCAGATTTTTATATTCCAAACCACAATTGTCATTTTTTGCCGTTCACTAAGACAACAGTGTCAATGAAATTCAATAATATTAATTTGAACTACCAAGGTAAAGGTAGAATTTTGAGGAATTGGTCGCGCCATCCAGAGCCCAGATGTTATCGTTAGATAAAGGCGACTGAAGAAGAGAGCAATTTATATATTTTAGTTTGCGTGGATAATTCTCTTGTCTGACACAATTGAGTTGAAATTTTTCGGTTTTTTCGTTCATTTATCATAGCAGAACTGTTATTTTATTTCAAGAGGATATCAGCGTTTATTGCGAATGATTTCAGCTCCAACAGTTGCATCCTTTCGCCGCCGATGCAGTGCTCTTCTGTAGAAACTGTACTTGCTGATCTCTTCTTTATGACCACTAAAGGAATAGTCGCAGAATGAAGTTGTGAGCATCCTTTTTAAGATTCATTGGTAGTTACCTTAGCAGCGGTGGTTTTATTTGTTTGCTGTTTTCTAAATAGCTTTGGATGTACATTGCTGAACTCTTTTTCCAACTGTTAGCGATTGGGCGGTTTTCGTTGCAGCATTGCCAACATAATTAATCCGATGCTGACGGTACATTCAAATGCTGCCCGTTGCCAGAAACTGAATGCATTGAGCACTTGATATGGCATTGCCCGATTCATCAGCGTATGCTGTACGAAAGGGTATATTTTGGAAGGATAACATACGCTTCCAGCTTATTTCTTTTCGACGGACATTTACCATGGAAATCGACGATGCTCCACAAGTTGTGGCAGTTCTGACGCTTTTTCGATGAGTTCTTTCACGAAAGTGGGGTGAAGAAGTTATGAAGGTTGGGCAGACAGTATGTGAATATCATAAGTAACGTGCTTTAATAATATGCATTCTACATGCCAGCCACCGTATGTGTTACTCGGTTAGGTCATACTGGCAGCTGTGATGCCTGCTGTTGTTGAGGTCGCTTTAGGCTTATTCTGAAGAGATGGGTTTTTCAGCGTCTCGCTAATGGTTTTCCAGATCAACACGGTTAATATGGTTTACCCTTACAATATTGTTGTCATTTAAATCTGGAAAAGCTAGGGGGTTGCCTAGATTGCTAAAGGTTATTAGATCTGATTGTGGACGAAATGGACCTTTTTCCCAGGCGTTTTGAAATGGCTCTCGGAACTGCAGCCAGGTCCCTTTGTCTACAATGTTTTCTATACTGGACTCTCGATAATAAACATTTTTATCACTGTTTTGAGCATTTCTTACTTCTCAGAGTTCATGGCTAGGCTGGGCATATGATTAATATTGTTGAAACGTCATCCACAGTAACTTTCCCTTTAAATTCTTCCTCCTCTTGTCCTTAGACAAATTTTGGCCTGCTGATCTTGTGGGTCGTCTTGGGTATTGAAGACCGGAGTTTGCAGGCAATCAGGTGTCGATCTGTTGATAGCTCTGTACCTCATTTTTCCTGAAGTTTTCAAGTACTATCGAAAACCGGTATTGTAAAACCACCAAGTCGCTCGGTGATCATTGCCATAAATTACTGTAATCCTGTGCTTCTAGACATCACGATATTAAAAAACGTGCTTATTACAGATAGACCTGTTGGACTGCAAAAATTCAATAATTTGTCACGATTCGGATAACGGTGGTGTCGTCCCTTCCTTACCAGTCCTTTTTATTTATGATCGTGGTTCTAACATGCGCTGAAATCGGCCAAATGGCGAATGATTCGTTTAAGCTACCATTTTCAGAGCCACATTTATTTCTTCCAAGGAAGATGCGTGACGTGGCTCTAGATAGGGTACATGCACTCGCGGCGAGGTAGCATCCGCTCTCTTAGATTGAACTTAACATGGAGTCTTTTCCCTTAATTATGCAACGGCTCTGCCTGTCAGCTGGGGTCTAATTAGAGTTGCAAACTCTGCTTGTGTATGCACGGTACTGTCAGCGCTAAGGCGTTAAAGTTCTACCCATTGTCGAAATCGAAGGCCTTGACACTTTGGGGCTTCTCAGAAGAGACCCCAGCAATATCGAATTGGTAGCGATAGGCTTGTTCAGTGAAGTATTGATTTGTTTCTGTTAGGTAACAGTCATTCTAGTTTCCAAAACAGTGCTGTGTTTACGTTGCCAGTTGTATCTCGGATATTTCAAAGTCCTTTTCTGATCTTGACACTAACTCGAACTGGTCCGCTAAATGGACACCTAGTCAACTAATGGGGTTATACAAGGTATGTTGTTGCATGATACTTTCTACTAAAATGGGATGCTGTAATATGTTTTATGAGAGAGAAAAACCTTTGAATGAGCCTCGACCAGTGCGGCGTGGTGAGTCTGGTTTGATTTACTCATAATACCAGTGTGAATTGCTCTGGAGCCACTGATTTTTAAGTTGTTTTTGCTGATTCCTGCCCTACAGCAGTTATCGCAGGTTTCGAGTCTCAATTACAAAGAGAAGCAAGTTTCGATGCGTCAGTGAGTAGCTCCATGGACACGCGCAAGCCCTCTCACTTGCTATCAAGTACAGTTGCAAGCGAATGCACACTCACCTTAAATACATTGTAAAACTATCCGTTTTTGCGAATTGTGCGCACACGCTTAAAATTGGAATTCAGTGCAGTACAACAGGTTGCCTTGTCGTGCAGTCATGTAGGCGTTTCCGAAAGAAATTCTATTGAATGGAATCGATTTGCGTACAAAAGAGGAAAGGTATACTAATTTTGGGTACATTTAATGTGGTCGGTGTTATTTCTGCGCGTCTGACAAATATGGAAACAAGTTCCTGATCATAAGAGCTGACGTCTTAAATTCTTGACCCATTGCTGGACCTGTAGCCGATTTGCTGATCCGTGGTTAAGAGTACTCAGCAAAGAGCGCGCCGAGACTTTCGTTGCAAGGCACTTTACTGCTTAGCTTGATCAGGGTACCATAATCGGGGCACTACAACTATGTTAGCGAAACATGTTGCGGATGAAGTTTTACTCTCAGCTGTGTTTGCTGCCCTCGACTGTGGATAGCCAAACGAGTTAAAATTTTTTCTCATTTGAGCCATATACTCCGTGTCACAAACAGTTTTTAGGATTGTGTTTAGTCAGCTCTTTCTTACTGGTTGGCTTTGGTTCTTTCGTTCGCTCTCGTGTTCGTCATTGATTGTATTCCTTTCGTAGGTTGGGCCGTGAATAACTTATATTGATTCAGTAAAAAATCGTCTCGACATTGTGGAGTTTTGTATCGTCAGTTTGCAGTGAGAAGGTTTTGACGTCTGCTGACGTCAGCTTTGTGTTTCACTATGCTTTTTGCACAGCTCAAGCATTGCGGCTGTTTAGGCGCAGTACGCGGTCGCCATACTGAGCTGACTATAGGGTGGCCGAAGATCTGTTTCTCGACATCGAATGGAGTACACGGACATAGACAAGGTTCTGGATGAATTCGAGGCTCTGGAAGGTAATTGAGATGTTTCACACTATATCTACTTTGGAACATTAGAATAGAGCGTAATTAGACGTTTGATAAATATTACGTTGGCTTCAGTTCTGAAACCGCGTGAAGTTAGATGAAGAATAACGGCAGAAACTGCCCGTCAAATGTTCTTCCGTACTGTAAATTTCGATTCTCCTTACCGTAAAGCTGATCCCCAATTTTGAGGAGCTATACGTTTGAAAGAATGCTTGCTATTTGACGGTTTCGATATGCAGAACTGCGGCAAAGACTTTTCTCCTCCTTAATACGTAGAAATCTGATTTGGCGCAGCAGATCCGCAAATGTAACAGGAAGATAAAACAATAAGGGCGGCAGACCAGTTTAAGTACCTAAGTTTTGTCATCTCCAGCGATGGCACCTGCCAATTAGAGTCCATTATGAGGATGATCCCGTCTTCCGGTGCTTTCAGTTCCGCCTGTACGTCCAATATTTGAGCTGAGACGGATGTTTCATTTCAATATATCTAACAGTACCTTTTGTTGATCAGATCTGTGCTGGTGTTATTATACAGCAGGAAATCGTCGTTCCATCGAAATACAGAAGACAGCGGCTGAACAGCACAGAGTTGAACTGATTTCGTAATTCATCGAGGGTTGATCGGCAGGAACATGTAGGAAATGAATGACTCTGTTCCTGTTCGAGTATAGGTATCCTTTGTAGAACTGAAGATTGAAAAAGTAGTTTTATACTCTTAGACATATTGGGAGAAGATATATCCTTTAATCAGTTACGGAGACTTCTCACATGAGAATCGAAACGTGACGGGTATCGACAGGAAACAAATATGAAGCATTTATGAACATGATCTGCATTGGGAAGGAAATTGTTTCCGCTGTGATGCATCATGTTTATAAAGAGAACCCTTTATTCCTCTATTAATGTTTTCATCAGTGGCCGGCTTCTTGGAACTTATATGTCTAATCTTTTTTGAGACCTTGTCTGGGACTAAATCGTTGTATGATTTTTCAGCTGTAGCCGGCGTTCAGTTCAATGACTCCTCATTACGTACCGACGTCGACGCCCGAAGAACTGATGCTGTATTCATGGACGTTCACAGTGTGCTCAGTCAACTCACTGCACAGGCTTGCTTTATTGTAGAGTCCGAGACTACGCCGTATGTTAACTTTTTTAATCTCTAGTTTTTTGTCTTTGACTTACTTAGATCGACAATGAATTCTAATTTTTATCAGTACTTGAAACATGCAGAGGCGAGGCAAAAAGATCGCCTGACCTTCCCAGACTGATAGTGGTTTATAACTGAATGCTAAGGAAGTTAAAATGGTGGGTTTTGAGAAGGAAGCTGACGTAAGAACAGTCTTTGATTTACGCAAGACCTGTG